TGGAATCTAACCTGACAATTAAAAACTGACAAAAGGTAACACCCCTTATGAAAAATTACTTAAATTTTTATCACAGACACTGACATCCTGGTCGAAAGTTTGTTTCAACAGCAGGTTGTTATGGAAGGAAAGTAAAAGGGAAATTCACTAAGCGAAGGCAGAGRAAAAACAACTAATTACTTTACAATCCAGCACTGAAAAAAAAAGTCTACACAGTGAGTAATAGAATAATTAATAATCCTAAATGAGCGAGAAATCCATTGACTCTTACCTGATTGACATGTTCACTGAGGGTCTGGGTGGTTGACTATCTAGTTTACTAAGGACCTGCCCAGGAATATGCAGRTATATGCAATGAGGGTGTTTCCTGATGCTTTTTGGATGCTGAAGTACCTGTTAGCCAACTGGGGCACACCAGAGAATAAAGAAACTGMTCAGCCTTCTTTTGTTGATAGGCCATACCCCACCCTGGTTGTATCGGTGATTTATCTTTAAAGAAAGAATCACTGACCTAGCATGATTTGGAATCTGAAGACTGAAGCCACCTCCTTCTGCCTGGGTGCTCCTCGTGTGTCAGTCTTCCTGTCTTCTCTGTATCACTGGGTATGCCTACCTCCAGCACTTACCTTAGTTTTCCATGAGAGCAGGGACTCAATGTTTCCTCAATGTGTATTAACATTTTGTGAACCCTCCTTGCTCTTCTTTCATTCTGTTTTCTGATGCACACCAGATACCCAAGAGCTCTCCATTTCTTTTTCACTATTCACTCTGTACCAATCTCTATTCTGTACTGGGGCAGCCCCCTAAACTTGCTCTATTCTTTTCTTTAAGAAGTCGTGTCAACATCAATKTTTATAGCAGCTCAATTCACAGTAACCAAGCTATGAAACCAAATTAGGTGGCTTTTACAGAGATGACTGGATAAATAAAATGTGGTATATTTTCTTGAAATGGAATGGAACAGAATGGAATATTACTCATCCATAAAGAAAAATGAAGTTTTGGCATTTGCCGGGAAATGGATAGAACTAGAGACTATCATGCTAAGTAAAATAAGCCAATCCCCCTCTCAGAAAAAAAAAAAAAMCAAAGGCTGTATGTACTGTCTGATATGTGGATACTAATACACAATAAGGGGTAGCGAAAGGGAAGAATAGAAGTTCATTGAATTAGACAAGGGGAATGAAGGGAAGGGGGGATGGAAATAGGAAAGACAGTAGAATAAATTGGACATAACTTTCCTTTTTTCATATATGAATACACAACCAATATAACTACACATCATATACAACCAAAAAAAATTGGAAGTTATACTCCATGTATGTATAATATGTCAAAATACATTCTACTGTCATGTATAACTAAAAAGAAGAAATAAAAATTTAAAAAACAAAAATAAAACACACAAAAAAGAAGTAGTGTCAAAAGTACAGTAATTGTACTTTCCAAATTTAAATTTTAGATCATGTGCTCTAACAAGTAGACATTTGCTTAGTAGGTAAATAGGAAGTAATATTTGAAACCAAGACTCTTTCAAAAAACCCAAAACATGTGGTTGTTGAAGCCCAAAGAAGATAAAGAGGACAGTCTGTGTTGTAATCCTACGAGGCCCCACCTCGGGATCTGGTCCAGCCTCTGCCTCTAGTCTCCTCTCCTACCTTGTTCTTCCTCCCACAGGCTACCCCAGACATACTGACCTCATTTTGGTCTCTTGAATCAGACAGGCTTAGCTCCATCTTGATGCTTTGCACTGACCCTTCCTTCTCCCAGGTACCCTCTTCCCTAGATCTTTGCAAGACTTCCCTCTTCTTAGCATACATWTCTCAGTCCAAATGTCATTTCAAAAAAGCATTCTTGTAGTCTCCAACTCTAGTAGCCTCTTGCCATAGTCAATGTCCATTCTGTGCATTTGCTTTTAATCAAAAGTATGTGCATAAAATTCGTCTCCACTTCTACCTACTATCTGCTGCAAACTTCATAAGGCAGGACCTTGCCGRTTTGTTCCCACATTTCAGCACCTACAATAGGCCTAGGACATGGTCAGCACACAACAAAAACTGCAGAATAAATGGACAACCCACTGTTCCTTCAGCTACACAATGCTCCATTGTCATGTATCCTCAGCCTCCAAGAGTAAAGACTCTTACTCTTGCAAGAGTAAGACTGTGAGACTTACTCTTGCTAGTCTAAGTCCTCCTAGACATCTGTAGGAAAATGAGTATCCCATGGGAAAAATGAATACAGGAAACCCGGTTTGGGGTGGGTGGGAAATGGCAATCAAAGATTAGGACATGCAGAAACGGAACAGGGAATGAGCTAAGTGTAAGAAATCTGGTAAAAGTGGGGCTTTTAGTTTTCATTTCTGGAATATTAAAGTTGGACTGATAGTGAGGATAACCAGACTAGGCTTTGCCACAAACTCATTATACAGCCTTGAGTTTCAAATGTCACATTTCTAAAATGAAGAGGCATGAAATCTCTGCAGTCCTTTCCAGTCACCWTTCTTTAAAAGCAAGAACCTATAAGGATCTCACATAGTTTAAATCCAGAATGTCCCTCCAAGTCCCTGGTGTTAGGGTTTGGTCTAAATTTGGTGCATTTGGGGAGTGACAAAAACTTTACAGGTGGGGCCTAGTGGGAGGTCTTCAGGTCATTGGGTCGCACTCTCAAAGGGGATAGTGGAACCCCGCCCCCTCCACTTTCTCTCTTTCACTCCTGGCCAGAAGTTTTGTTCTTCCTTCACCTGTGGTGATTCCCTCTCAGGGGAAAGGCTGACTACAGTGTGCAGATGACACAGGGCCTGTCGCTGACAGGCTTTGAATATTTTTAAGAGACTGTAGGACAATGGTTAAGAGTCTCAACTTTATAACTGGTTTCAAATACTGCCTCTGCCACTTACTAATTACCTGACCCAAGTGGGTTATTAAACTCATACCTCCACTTCTTCACCTGTAAAATGGGAGTGATAATAACAGTAAGCACCCCCAAGAATTGCAGGGAGGATTAGGTTAATATCTGTAAAGCACTTAAAACAGGGCTGTAATTATAATTCCACTGGCAAGGCCATCTCTGGYTAACRTGCACGCCTCAAGCCTAATAATACTCAACACTTGTCTCTCCTCATCCTGATGCAAATTTCAATWAGCAGCATACTTCTTCCCATGTAGATTTGCTCACACAGAAAAAAAATGTGCCTATCACAGAGACTCTGAGAAAGTCCCATCCCAGAGCCTGCAATTTCTTATGGCAAATTGATAAATTACCTGTGGTGTGTSTGGGCCTCCCAAATTGTTTGGCCACAGAAGAAATATGTAGGCACGCTGTTAATGGAGAATATGTGGTCTTGGGACAAATTGGTTTGGATTTCAAAATCTTCACCCTGGCATTTTAGTGTCTATCTCAACCTTAATGTTTTGGGGTAGAATGCAGAGTCCTAGACTCTGACTTCCCTGCATAGTGGTGTTCAAAAGTCCTCGGCCTCTTAAGCAAGGGCCAGACCTGGCTGAYTTTCCTCCCAATAGCAATACCAGCTGTCAGCTCACTGTTGAATCCTGTGCATCAYTAAGGGATAAAGAGCCCCCAAGAATGCAGTTCCTGATGTGGGTACCTTTGCATGAAAGAATTAAGAGCTCTTAGAAAACCAGTGGGTATGAAAATACAGGAAAGGGGAGAGCTGAAAACAGAAGCATTAATCTCAGACCCACAGTGACACCCCCTTCTCAAGAAAACCTACAAATATTTTCAATTCATTATACRACTTTGACTGAGATTTCACTCTTTAGGAATGCATTTGATTAAAAGAGTAAGTCATTCTGGAAAGAATACAGAACTTTTGATGATGATACACATCAGTGGAATGATACACATGTWCAGTAAGATTTCCTGCCTTCAGACACCTTGCTGGGTTGAGTTCACCTTGAGGTACTGGCAGATTAGTGAGTTTTGTTTTGTGTAGAGAAAGAGAGCACTCCGTGGGAAAGGAAGGTATATGAGAAGTTTGAAACACTTTAAATGAACGATGAGACCTGCTTGGAGTCTCCAGGGACAACTTGAGAGGTTCCAGGACAGGAGAAGTCTGGGATGTCCAGCTATGATATATCTTATGGTGCTATTTCTGGATTGGCCTAAGAAGGTGACCAAGAATTATAATATCGTTACCTTGGGGGGGAGAATGCAGTTTTCAGATACCAGTAAGCAACTTATAAAAATGCTTTAAAGATAAGCCATTCCATCTGAGTTCTTAAGTAGGGTACTTCCTCTGTGGGATCTGGAAAAGAAAGAGAAAGCCTCAGAAAGCATTTGATCTGAGGGGTGGGGGATATAGGACAAAGTATGGAGTTCAGATTGGGTTCCAGTTGGAGGAACATTTGTTCCTGGGATCTGAGACAGTTCGAGATCTGTTGAAAACCTTGGGYAGACAAGAAGCTATCCAGAGCCAGACAGAAAGATGACTTAAGTATTAAGAAGAAGAGGGCTTAGGGAGCTCAGGTTATGCAGATATTTCATTCTGGGTGCGTGGGCCAGTTTCCCCTCTTGACTCTGGGACAGCCTAAGACTTGGTCTGCATCAACTGTCCTCCCAGGAAAGGACAGACACGGAAAAATTCTGCAGAAAGAGCGAAGCCTTGACTTGAAAAAGCCAGTTTGCGGAGACCTCAATCTACCGTACAACTGAAGGAATAGGGCTAAGGGTCATCTACAGGAAGGGTCTGAAAGGTAAGGGGACTAAGACGAATTCAGAGAGGGCACTGAGACAGGACACAAACACTTGTCAAGGAGAGGTGCGTGGGCCACGGAGAAGGAAGAGTTGAGAAGAAAGAAGGACTCGGCGGGCAGGAGTGGCGCGGGGCGGGGAAGGAGCTAGGGAAGCTGTCCYTGCCGCAACGTGCGCTCCGTGGACCAGGTAGGAGGGTCTCCGGGCCGGCGCGTCGCTTGTGAGSGCAGAGACTGCGGTGGCTGAACAGGTGAGCGGCCGCTGGGCGGCGGGTCCCCGCCCTTCCCTGCGAGCGTGTCTCCTCCTACGGATTCTCCCCAGCACTTGGCTGCTCCGCGGCTCCCCTCGGTTTGGGGTTTTGCAGCTGGCAGCTGGCCTTTTCCCCTCCCCTGTCTCGGTCTCTCCTTGTTTTAGGTTGCTCCACCCCGCCCAGGATCAGGCGAGGGGGAACCAGCTGGGCTGCGCCTGCCAACTCGCGCGGAGTGCGTCTGCGAACTCCGGGAGCGGAGTCCCGCGTGCCGCCTGCTCCCTGCGGGACGCGCTCCTCTTGCTCCCACGGGCCCCGCTTTCTCCCCGCCGCAACCCTTCCCCACTTTTCCCCCCTTTTGCAATCACATGGCATTTTAAGAATGCCGGAAAGATGGCGGTAGCGGCGGCGGCGGTGGCGGCTGGGCCGGCTGGCGGAGGTGGCGGCCGGGCTCAGCGGAGCGGTCTTCTGGAAGTTTTGGTGCGGGATCGCTGGCATAAAGTTCTGGTGAACTTGAGCGAGGACGCCCTGGTTCTCAGCTGTGAGGAGGGCGCTGCGGCGTACAATGGCATCGGGACTGCCACCAATGGCTCGTTCTGCAGGGGCGCTGGGGCCGGGCACCCGGGTACCGGAGGCGCGCAGCCCCCCGACTCGCCCGCGGGGGTCCGCACAGCCTTCACCGACCTGCCGGAGCAGGTGCCCGAGTCCATCTCCAACCAGAAGCGCGGCGTGAAGGTGCTGAAGCAAGAGTTGGGCGGTCTGGGCATCAGCATCAAGGGGGGCAAGGAGAACAAAATGCCTATACTCATCAGCAAGATCTTCAAGGGTCTGGCGGCCGACCAGACCCAAGCCCTGTACGTGGGCGATGCCATCCTGTCAGTGAACGGCGCAGACCTGCGGGACGCCACCCACGATGAGGCGGTGCAGGCGCTCAAACGAGCCGGCAAGGAAGTGCTGCTGGAAGGTAAGGGGTTAACGCCGCGCGTGCCGCGCACACCTACCGTCTGCCACACTCACAGGCAGCCAGGTGTCCTTATACCCCAGGGCCCGCGGTGTGTGTGTGTGTGTGTGTGTGTGTGTGTGTGTGTGTGTGTGTTTGTGTGTGTGTTAGGGCCAGTGGATCAGGGTGGCCTCAGCATGGAGTTTTGAGTTTTGACAACTTTCGTCCACCTGGGTACGACTTGTCCTCACTCCCAGGACGTTACAGGCCTTGACCCAGGAGTAGGTACCTGAAAAGGCAAGGAAAGCTGGGTTTCTTGACGGGCTCCAGTGCTAAATGCATGTTGTTTCATTTTTATCAACAGTCGATCCGAATTCAGTGTAGGGATTGGAAAGTGGAACAGCACAGGAAGAGTGGACGGTATGTTAACTGGTCCAAGTTGCAAATCAGGGCCATTGATTAACCACGAACCTGATAGTTTTATCCTTTATCAAAATGTCCCCCTCAGAAACCTGGGCAACCCAGCCTTGAAGGGTTGAATGGAATCATAAAGGAACCAGAGAGAGGTGGCAGTCTTTGAATGCTAAACTCCAGCAGTCCTTCCCCACATCCCTCATGCAAATAGGAGACCCTGGGGCTCTGCCTTGGGAGTAGTGCCAAAGACTGGGAAATGTGTTGCAGTGAGGCAYGAGTTCCCTTCCACTGGCCCGTGTTTGGCCAGTCAGTCGGGATTCCAGGTTCCCGGGGGTGGAGAACTGAAAGGATTTTTCTGCCTGTGTTTTCTGGAGCCTTTTCAGAGTGGTGTGGAATCAACTTTGCATTTGTAAAGTTTCTCCTGCATGTGAGGAACCTTAGAAACTCTCTCTCTTAAGGTCTCATGTCCCTAACCCCCTAATTATTGACTGTGAATAGAATAGGAAGGCCCTTTTATACCTGTTGGAGGACTTGTGGCTCTATGTGGGGAAGAAGGGCAGGCAGGCTGGTAATTACTGGTAATTTCTCCTTTCTCCTATAGCTGCATTTCTCTCATGTGATCTATTATTCTCTTTAATGCTGTGGGTATTACTGTATGGACCCTAATATCATGTAGTAATTCTATTTCTATAGATTGAGTTGTCCTGAAGGGRGGCTTTTATTTAGTTATAGTTCTCTCTTGAGCTTAGGTGCTCAATGACATGCAGGCAGAGTGGATGAATAAATGAATTCATAGCTTCTGAAACCTATTTCAACTGAGACATTGTGATATAATAATTAATTTAAGACCCAAACTAAGACTTTAAGTAAATTTAGTTGTCACCTAATTATGCTGGTGTGTGACACACAAGGTTCCAAGTCAGGAAACTTTGCTAGGTGTGTGACAGCTGATGCAACTCCTGATCTAGAATACAAAGAGGGTTTTTTCCCCCCTTATTTGTCTAGAGGATTTTGTGATGTCTTCATATTTAATTACCATCCTGGATCCAGAAAGTGTTTGCTTTGGCTTGATGATTAACATAAGTAAACAGGAAAAAAAAAAAGTTTTCTGGACTCAGTGTGCTGGTTTGGGAGAGAAGAGACACCCAGACAAGGTAGGATCTGGACAAGTGCAGTTTGGACTGTAAACTGCTGGGTACATGCTCAGCCTGAAATACCTACTGATATCCGGGCTAAGAGAGACAAAAGGAAAGCCTTTTTTTTTTTTTTAGTTTAAACATTGTCCTTTATTATGTCCCTTCTTTATTTCCTCTTCTAGTTTTCTATTTAATGAATAATGATTTGATTTGAGAAAGAGGTAAAAAAGCAAAACAAAACAAACAAAAAAAAAAACTTCTCACCAGAAAAGAGAAAAATAAATAAATACAAAAGAAAAAGCTGATTCTGTGTAGTTAAAATTAAACTTAGAAAAATAAAATAAATCAAACAGCTGTGTAGTTTTCTTGAGACAGCAACCAAAAACTGAAGTTTTGCAAAACCCCTCACATGACATTTTCAGAACACTGCCATATGTTGCAGGCAGGGCGTGTAGAGAAGACCTGGGGCCTTCTAGAAGTGAACAACTTTGGCTCAGTGTGGAAGACTTTTCCCCAGCCCAATTTTTAAGAAATTGACTGCTAAGAAGAGATACAAATGCAGGCCTCTCTCAAGAGACTGTCTCTTGTTTGGTAGGTCCTACAGTGTCCGGAATGTGGTGGTCATGGTCATACTTCAAGGCAGACATCAAAACCCTCTCTTTTGTAGCTGGCCTAGTGCAGAGATTCCCAGTTGAGGAGATTTGTTAGAACCACCCTCAAGGCTTCATTAAAACACACACCTCATATTCTGAATGCAGGGTTAAGTCTAAAATTTCTACGAGAGGCTTTGGGAACGTAATCTGGTTGACTAGAGCACTAAGGGAGATTTTTAAAGATATATTTTTTATGCCAAATATACAGTTTTAGTTTGGTTTTATTTTATTTTATTTGAGGGAGTTTTGGGGGATTAGTTTAGTACCCCACCCACCATCAGTGTGCACCATTTCTGCACCTGCGCCCCCTTGTGGAAAGTTACTACCTCTACTAGGAGAACACCCTGCAAAGTGAAACCAGGAACAGCAAGTTTCAACCCAGCCATTCTAGTGCTAGATTCTGCCACAGAGTTATGTCTTCTTCCCTGAATCTTAGTGCCTTCATCTGCAAAATTGGAATAAGGAAACTGCTGGGCCTCCTTACTTCACTGGTACATCCTATGGAAGAGCATAAAGGGCCTACATCAATGCCTGCTGAAAGTATTTTTACAATTTAAATGAAACAAACAGGAAACTGTCCCTTCTAAGGAGCAATCCTTTCCTTTTCCTTTACCGGAGTTTATATTTCTTAASTGAAATTGAATGGTAATGCTGGAAGAGATCATTCCTTTGGGGGCCACAGGATTTAAACAGAATCTGAGGATCAAGAATCATGATAATAACTCACATTTCTTGAGCATCCTAGAATTTATTTGCATTTATTCATGATACACTTAAAGTAATTCTGTAAGGCCAATACTATTGTTGCTCACTTTATTAAAGAGGAAACTAAAATTTATGAACACTAGGTTATTGGCTTAAAGGACCAGGAGCACATCAGAAGTCTTGGTCTATGTGATCTAAAAGTTCATACCTTCAACCTCTAGGCACACATGGTACTATGCACTAGAGCCAGTTGAAGCTATTGGGCTCCTGGCATTTTGCCCCATTCCCCAGATATGCTAAAGAACTGAAGACTATCCTGAGCAGGAAGCTGGAATGGTACAGAATACTCCAAAGGAAGGGGAGGAAAGGAGGATAAAGTCTTAAAATCTGGATACAACACGTGTCTGGCCATCATAAGGAAGCTGCTATGGTGTGGCCCACTATCACAGAGAGACAAGGTTGAACACATGGCTAGTGCGGAGACTAAACTACAATTCAGATTTCAGTAGCAAACAAAGTGCCAATTAAGCCATTGGCTACTAAGTACTCATTAGACTTACSATCAGAAATTTTCATACCATGTACTCATTTCTCATGGAGGGGATCAAGGACCCTACAATCAACCACGCAGGTATTGGAACCTATAATTCCAGGGCAGCATTCTCATAGACTGCAATGTGACTGGAATATTCTGCRGATGGGCAGGGCACACCTGCGTAAGTGTCCTTGGCAGCTCTTGTGTGTGGGAAGAGGTTTTGCTCCTTAGTTGGTTTGTAAAATAGTAATTTGAAATATGTGTCAACTTTTTATAATTGAGACAATAATAAAATTAATTATTCTGTAACTTTGTCAAGATTGAGTTGTTCAGAATGTTCCAGAAGATTCATGTTGAAGTGTGGAGGTGGGGCTAGACAGCGTATCCCTGGGTCCAAAAGGCTCCCATGGAACTGGATTAGAAAAAGTAAAAACTCAAAGGAGAAAGCCAGGGACAGTGCTAAACATGAACTGTGTCCACGGGGCGAACGTTTAGTTCTGCTCCAGGATGCTTAGGTCATCTGGAATCTCCTTTTTGTATCACTTTCTCTGGTGGTGGAAGTGGGGGTTGTGGAACAGGAAGATGGGTCTAACCGGTGGACAGTGTTTTTTTGTGGCAGGATTGRAAGAGAATGTCATCCTTGAGGAATCTTACTTTGTTTAAGCCATATAGATTCTTAAAGAATACTCAGATTCTGGAATGAAAGTCTTGAGACCTGGGTTTCATTTTTTAACAAGTTACCAAATTTGTTTGGGCCCTGGTTTTCTTCGTTGAATAGCTGGGTGTAGCTACCTGTAAATCTTATTCTCTCTGAATTCAGATCCAAAGCACACTTTGAATAACAAATTTGTTAACATCCCTTATACTATCATGAAATAAATCTCATAARTAATAGAGTATGTCTCTAATTTAAATTTTAAAATAATGTAATCTCGGGCTGGGGATGTGGCTCAAGCGGTAGTGCACTCACCTGGCATGCGCGTGGCTCTGGGTTCGATCCTCAGCACCACATACAAACAAAAATGTTGTGTCCACCGAAAACTAAAAAATAAATATTAAAAAATTCTCTCTCTCTCTCTCTCTCTCTCTCTCTCTCTCTCTCTCTCTCTTTCTCTCTTTAAAATAAATAAATTAATTAAATAATGTAATGTCCCAACATTAACATGAGGAAAGACATTATTTCTTTTTAAACAGAATGTCAATAGATAAATTCTACACTAGAGGTATTAATGAAGAAGTTCCACATTAGCACCTCTATGTAAAAGTCACCCTTGGTGCACACATGAAAATGTGACAGGGGTGTGTGGGTTTTTTTTGGAGGTCTAGCAAACTATTTCATTGTGAAGGACTGCCCTGGGATGCCCAGGATCCCTGGCTGCCATCACTAAATTCTAGAAGTGTGATACCTCCTCTCCAAATGATAATCACACACTGTTCTAAACACTTTGCATGGATTCACTTCAATCCTCACCCAATGCGGTTGTTGCCCCTGTTTCACAGATAAGAAAACTGAGGCACAGAGAGGTTTAAGTCTCTTGCCAGAGACACATGGTTACTGCTAAGTCTTAGATTCCAACACCT